GGGCTTTACCTCCTCCAGAGCCTGCACCAAACCACCACCGACCTGGTCAAGGGGTCAGTGCACCCATCACATAGGTGCACCTAAGCAACAGTTACTGTGCTTGAAGATAGTCCTATCCCTTCCCCTTCAAAAAATTAAATAAACCTGAATTATTAAGGTGCCTTTTCATGAAGAAATTATTGAATCTTGTGCTTCCTACCCCACAAAGTGAACTGCCAAGGTTGAACAGTTATACTCTACTCCCACCTCTCGCTGTGACTTGGGATCAGGTCACTTAACTTCAGCTTATCCAGTTACTTGTCTGTCACCCAGCTCTAACAACTGCCTTGTAGTGGGACTGGAGAGCTTAGCCCTATTGACACACAAGAAGCCCTCTGGATATCACACACACAGAACAAAGTGCTTGAGAGCATTCAATTTGCAGAAATAATTGGTAAATCATTTCAAATAGCAAATGAAAATTACCTCATTTGCTAAAACTTCTGAGTAGAAAAAGGCAGCATGTGAGCACATTACTCATTACAAATTATCCACTTGGATCTTCTTGGGCTGTGACTGTAGTGAGAAATGTGCTACAGCGAGAGGCTCGGAAATTGAACTGAGACCCTTAAGAGCCATTTCACACAAGCCATTGAACAGCCATCAGGTAGTAAAACCTTTGGGCCTCTACTAAGCTGAAAACCACTTAGACTAACGGCAAAAGACTTTTTACGTCATCGCTCCCCCCAGGAGACATCAGGCACGCTGTAACTTTAGTTCAGCCAGGAGATGTCGCACCACTAAATTACTGATCTGAAAAACGCCAGCATGCGTGCGCGACTCCGGGAGTGGGGCTGTTCAACATTCCTCATGAATATTTTTTCTTTCCTTGCCAGACAGACGCATAATAGCAAGACTCTTACAGGAGAAGATCCAAAATCATTGTCATCCATGAAACCTATGCACAAAAAGCTGCAAGCGTCAGAGGAACATCCTTTTTACCTGTGAAGATGCATCACCTTTCCCTCACCACTTACTGGAAACAGCAGAAAGCAACTTTTGAGAAGACACCCATATGCTGATTCCTTCTGTTAACCACCCAGATTCTTATTTTAATTCCCAGATACAGGAAAAACCTGTTAGCATAAGCAATAAATATTTCATTGACATTCCAAACTCCGCCTCTCTCAAATTCTTTTTTTTTCCCCACAATTTTTCACATGCATTTGGGGCCTGGGCAAAAGGAAAAGGAAATAATTTCCAGTATTTTTAGTCTTGCAGTTAAACAGTTCAGACAAGGAGCAAACTCATCCCAGGATACCAGAGCTTCTCCTCCAGCCTCAACAGGAAAAATGCAGATATTAATGACTGAGCTTTAGCCTTTGCCTAGGTCTGAGTAGGTGCACATTTTCATGTGCTGATACAAAATGAACCTCTCATCTCTTTCCAATGTACTTGTATCTAATGTAATCTTCAGCTCTCAGATATGAACTGCCAGAGGCTACACCTGTCCGCTACAGAGAACAGCTCTCATCTCAAGTTCCCACGCAAAGCATTAAATGCTTCAGAATCTGCATAAATGAATAGAAGCAGCCTTCCAGCCTCGCAGAGAACAATCTACCACTTCCCCCAGTGATGCAGACCCTGTTCCTCTAAATCAACATCATGCACGCTCCGAGGAGCATCAGAGGAATCTCACACAAAATTAGTATCTAAAAACAGCATTAAAAAGTCACACAGGAACAGCAATGATGGGAGCTTTTTGTGGAAGAGGTATGGGGTCACCAGGCTTTGTGGGGCAGACACAGCCGCGGCCATGCGAGGCGTTCCAGGTCGAGTTTACGGCAAGAACAGCGCCCAAGAGTAAGCACTTGAAACCCATGAAATACCAGTTACATTTCCCAGCACCAGGGCACAATAAGCATACAGAGAATCTACTTATACCTCCATTAAACCACTTTTTAATTGTCAGCGCTGCTGTTACCATCGGACCAGGCTCTGAGCGAGTACCCTGTCCCCACGGGAACACAACGCAGCACACGGGGCTACCGCAGCGGTGACGAGCGGTGCGGTGCGTGTTGCCACCGTGCCAGGTTGGCTGTGCAGGCCGCAACCACCCCCGAGCTTTAGGGTTTTAGGCCACGCAGGACTCGCTCAGCCCCACTCAGAGCCCTCCGACGGGGGGTTCCCACGGAGCCCAGGCCCACGCTGCACCCAGTTCACCAGGACAGCCGCCGTGTCCGTGGGAGACGGCCAGGAGACGATCCCGTAGGCAGGACGGGCCGAGGGGCAG